GTGCATACCCCGCCACTGCCTCCGATGGTCCCAAATGTAATGGGGTCTTGCTTCCGTCACATCCCATTCTAATAATGTTAAATGAAATATGAGCTGAGAATGAGTCATGGCGGCTATTGTGCCGATATTTAACATTTATTTATTGGTTATCTGAACTTTGCATTTGGGCAAAAGTTTTATCTGAACTCTGTGACTAACGGGGAACTGGAGAAAGCTGAAGCATTGATGTAAATATTAACAAACATGATAGTGGACTGAGCAGGCAATGTTGTCATTCAAAACATATATTCAGTTTTTTTTATACATTCAGATTGTTATGTGTTTGTCGGAATTTCTTGTAATTACGTGACAAATGGACGCCCATAAATGTCAAACCACAGTCTTAAGTTCCTGCAGTGACTCCAGACTACATTTCCTCATTATAACTCACTCTTCCTCTTTCCAGAAAACTCTCATTGAACAGGTGAATTGACCCTTGACTATAGGCAGTATTGTAATAATTGCAGTTAACCAGGAAGTCCCACGGAGATCCCGAATTTCTTTTGAACCAGAAACAAAACTAAAACATATGCCAGCCCTCTAAAAAGCACGATACAGCTATAATCTTCAAATAATTACATTCCTGCCATATTAAGTCTTTAACAGCAGGTTGTATTGGACCAAGAACTGAAAAAACATAGTACATTTAATCATTTTGGTTTTAGAATACTTCTTGATAATTAGCCATTACAATTTTGACAAGCTTTAGAGAATTAAGCCTGTTTGGACAATAGCGGTCTCACTCGATGTAATGTCTGTTGGATTTTTACCAACAACTGCTTTTCTCCATGGAGACGATATCGCTCTTCCTGGAATGTTCCCCAGTGCGGTATTAAAGGCGTATCTGTGGAGACATGTAATCCTACGAGGAATATTACAATATCCATCAAAAGTTCATTTATTACTGTAATTCAACTATAAAATGTGAAACCAGTAAATTATATAGATGCGATGCATGTAACATATGCCAAGCCTTTTTTGTGATAATGTTGATGATTATGGCTTACAGTCTGTTTGCAAATTATTCAATTTTTTATTCATTAATTCATTCATTTCCATCCCTTTAGTATCCATTTCTGGGTCAGAGGGGTGGCAATCAGAGCTGCCACCCAATTCACAAAGCACCAGTCCCTCGCTGATCCTCCTGCAGGTGGTGGGTCCACAGGAAGATGGCTGCTCCTTCAACACAGATATGGCCTTGATCTCTCAGAAGGGACTTCAGGCAAAGTGGGGTCAAGTGTCTTGCCCAAGGACACATTGACAGCAAACATCAGTGAGAGTAGATGACATGGGTTGTGGTGGGATCAAACCCACTATTAGGTCCAATGCTCAACCAACTGAGCTACTGTCGCCCCCTATATTTATCAGAGATTACTCGGTTATAAACATAATAACAATTACAGCCTCGATATACCTCACTTTGAGTGTAATGAGTCTGTCGCTTACTTTCACATTGTGATTCGAATGACCATCAATTTACAATGCTTATCAAGTAAATTGACTAATGCTAATTCTCCGAGCCTGGTCTTACCACACCATCGTACACATTTCATTTCGTACATGTAGGGAAATAATAATTGACCGCAGTTTACAGATGGCTAAGCCATTTTCCTAGTGCCACTTGTTTATTAACTGTTATTCTGATGGATTCAACAATATTTGGGACTTTGTGTCTTTCTGTGCGCTATGAATAAATATTTGGTTATTCCACCAGACTAGTCTGAGTTTGAACTGTGAAAAGAAATGCTCCAGAAATGAATAGATGGAAGGCGCAGTACCCCTTTTCACCAACAGAGGATAGTGTTCTTCCTAGAGCAGTGGGGGCGGGTCCCGGCTCAAAAGTGTGCTGACATGCTTGCAATATCACCCCGGGCCGATGGGGGTGGACCCGGAATAAGAATTAGCCAATGCTAACATATAGCATTGGCTGACCTCTCGAAAACGTCTTTACAGGATGGTCCAAAAGTTGGCTCTTGGCCCAAAGCTCCGTTGCACATGTGTGTCAATAGTGAGGGGAGTGAATTTTTTTGGACCACTCTAGTTTACTCGCTGTGAATTTTTGAAGGCACTCGTTTAAATGAATGGAGCTTGCGCCAGCTGACGCATGCGCAGATGCGTTTTTTCACAATTTTCTTGTTTCCGGGACCACTCGTGGCCATTTTGGATAGCTCCAGTAGAGCACATTTTTTGGCCCATTAGTTTTGAACGGCGGAGATAGGAGATTTACAGTCTATGTCCTAGAGCTGTACATCCAAATTTTTCATTCATGTTTAATTATATTTAATTTGCACATTTCAAAAAGAGGGTGGGAGGTCGGACGCATTTAGTCCCACCATAATCAAAGTAAGTAAGAGTAAGAGCAGTCATTTTTGCTGCTACACTGTTGATCACACCAATACCAGACTGGTGGAGTTGTGTCCTCTTAAGTTACTTTTATTATAAATATCTAATGAGGAAAATCTTTTGTGCTTTATATTCAGATTGTGTTTTTAAAGAACTGTTCAAATACTTATTTTAACTACAGAAAATGTGGAAGTGAGAAATATGTAAATAGATTTAACAGAATTATCAGAACAGTGATTCTTAAGAAAAATATGCAGCACCAATGTATTCTATCTTTACCTTTATGAAACATGGCACTGCAAATAACTCAACAATGTAAAAATGATAAGAAACATATAGATATATAATACTTGGGTGTGTGTGTGTGTGTGCCAGTGTGTGTACATAAGGCTCATAAAATCCATTTCTCATGAATCCTGGTTACGGAGACATAAAACCATTTTGTAACACCAGGACGTTCACTCACAGGGAGAAAATAAAAACTGTATTGATGTTATTCAGGGGTGTAGTCTGTGAAGCGTTTTACCAGAAAGTCCATAAAGTCCATAATAAACCTCAGCAATTAAAATCGTCAAATGATGAATCAGTCGGGCTGAGTGAATAGATAGATTTGTTCAAATTGATTGCATTTACCAAATCCGCATATGTGCCTGTCGATTGATTTTGTGAATAATAATTATGCATTTGGGGAAAGAGGATGTATGGTGGACTTGATGTGCAGTGTTAAGGCGTCCTGCTGTTTGTCGCTCTTGGACTTCCTGTTTGGGTTGTAAACACTAAATGAGGATCAAGTCAAACCAGAAACATGCTTCGGACTCACCTGAAACAAAGTCATTTGTTTTAATCTTTCTTAAAAGCTCCTGGATAGGCTTCAATTGTGCATGTACTAATGGAAATCTGATTTTATTGTTCAGTGTACAAGCTGGTGTACTTTTTGGATAATAAATCAGGTCAATATTTAGATTGATGGATAGATAGTGGGGCAAGTATTTATTCAGCCACTAATTAAAGATGAGAAATGTCTGTCATCATAGGTATACCTCAACTATGAAAGAGACATTTTTCTTATGCCCTTCTGTAGATAGGAAGGTAGATAATAGATAGATAGATAATTTAGCAGAAACCCATCCATCCGTACAAACTTCAATTAATACATAATCCTAAAAGTTATTAACAATAGTGATAAAGTGCACTCACTTTGTATCTCTGGACCAAGATAAAAATAGTTTTAGTAGTAGTAGTAGTGGCAGTAATAGTAGTAGTAGTGTTGAAATCTGCATGACTCAGTGTACTGTCCCATTATACTACCATAGGAGGGGTTATGTTTTAATCAGGGTGTGTCAGTTTGCTTACTGGTTACTAGGGCTGGGAAATAAATCAAATTTAGGCCATAATCGGCTTTTGAAAAAATTGAATTTCTGAAAAATGTGATAATCGTGAAATCGAATGAAGGATATTGTGAGAGTTCCAGCAGCACGTGAATTATACTTACAATATCAGCACAGTCTGTACAAGACTTTTATCATACGTATTGTGGGAAACAAATTAATAATAGTTTTGAAACTTGAATATTGAGCAGAAAGATAAAAAAATATTCTTAAGGGCAAAGTCTGTCTTTGTAACATTAATGAAAATCAATTTAAAATAGAAATCGTCCAAAGCAGGAAATAAGATAGAGATTTGACTTTTATGCCATATTGCCCAGCCCTACGTTAGTCAGAAACTTCACTGAAACAGTTAGTTTTTCGATATTCTCAGAAAATATAGGACACGGTTTAGGGAAAATGTCATCAAATTCCTTTTTTGCATGACATTGGAGCAAACATACATTTGTAAAATAATTAACTCGATCAGCCATGTACGCAGTTTTTTGTGTATTGGTTTGTCTGAACTACGTCTTTAATGTTAACGTTACTGGGACAGTATTAAATGTTTGTTGGTTTGGGAGAAAACAACAGGAATTCTTGGTGGATTTGGGTCAAGTTAGATCAGAAGAATGACACACATACATCTACATGAGCGGGAGACACTTCAGAACGACTTGCAGCAGGTTTTATGGACTCAGCTTTTGTCCACTTTTACCACATCACTCATAAAGCTTTGTTTAGGCAACATGAAGTGTCCGTCGGCCCTAAAGAACTCCAACAAACGCATTATTGAGCCATTATTCCAGTGAAGTGCTCTTTTGAAGATACACTTCCACTCCTCAGTGACGCTTTCTTTTTTGATCTATTTCACAAGACTGCGAACTTTACACAAGTCGCCCTTTGTTGGCTCTCAGTGTGAACCATGATGCGACCACAGTTAAAACAACCCCACTTTTATTCCTTTTACCGGAATATGATAGTTATAGTGAAGCGTTTGTGTAGTTGATGGCGTGGCTGCTTCAAATCCTGCCAGCATGTACCAGCTTCGTACCTCTGGGATGTCGTATATTTAAAACACAGCCTGGGCATCGTGTCCACAATCACAGTGCTGTTTTAAGGCGTACAATAGCATGCTGTTTTAAGGCAGAACTTCAAGCACTATGGATCAAAAAAGATAAAATAATACAATCTTAAAATTCTTGCGTTTATGTAGCAAAACGTCACAGCTTGTTTTTTGTTTTATCGTTGCAGGAATATCCACAGCCCAGAATGCAGTCACAACCAATGGGAGCTCTTCCAGTGACCCTACTATCACCACGTTTGTGTCTTTACCCGCGTCCAGTGCTCCTTTGAGGGGAGACACCACCATTCTCTCTACCAGCAAGAGGCCAGTGCCAACGGGGCCAACATCTGCCCATCCAGAGGCAACTTCTAACAGCAATAACACTAGCCCTATGCACACACCGAGTCCAGGGACAAGGCCTACCACCTCCGACAGCGACAATTCCACCACGCTTGTCACGCCAGGTCAAGCTCACAGCACCACACAGCTGAAAACCACCTCCAATGACAAAACAGGCTTCACCACAAACGGACGATCGACTTTGACAGAGCATACGTTGACTAGTAGCGCTTCCGTTTCGCCCAGTGCGAGCCGCGGCAGCACAACGGCAAAAGTGGATCCAACCACGGCAAACAATGCTAGCCAGGACACTCAGCTAACGATGGTTACAAAGCCAGACAATTCTACGACTGCTGAGACTACGGAAGCAAGAAATTTCACGAGTACTGTGGCAAAATTGACTTCCCATGCAGCTGATCTCTCCACTACATTGGTGACAAAACCTCAGAATTATACTACGGATACTGGTGATGTGACAAAGTTAACCATGGCAACAACTACAAGCCCTGACCTTGGAAATGTATCGACACCACGACCAGAGAATTTCACAACATTTAGTGCTCAAAGTACAAGCAAAAGTAATGCTACGACTGCCATTACTTCAAGTCAAACCTCTTTGGTAGGAACGACTCCCAACATTGGAAATCAGACAACTTTGGTTACCGATTCTCACAATTTTACGACATTAATTTCAACTGCAAGCAAAGGTAACACAACTGCTACTATTGCTACAGCTTCCCATGATACTGGGAAGACTACTGTGATTGGAACAACTCCCAATATCAATAATCAGACAACTTTAGTCACACATGATCGTAATTTTACTACAATTATTACTTTAAGTCCAAGCCCTGGCCAGAATACCTCAACGATAACTCCAGAGCCCGATTATACAAATCATACCACTTTGATGGGAACAACGAATGCTTCAAATGGGACAACGTTGGTGACAAATTCCCAAAATATGACCACAAGCTTTAACAATAATATAACCACTCCTACTACTTCAAACTCAAACAGTACCGAAGGTCTCACGTCATTGGCTCAGAGTACTTTCATCGCAAGCCACTCCACAACTCTTTCGACAAACATCACTACGACCTCAAACTTTGGCAATCACTCCACTTTGATCACAAGTCCTTCGAGTACACAAACCTCTTCAAATACTACTACAGCCTCCAACGGTACTCACAGTACTGTTGCACCAAGTACTCCCATGGGAAATCACTCCACAACTCCTCTCACGACAATCGGATCGCAAAGCACAAGCCACGTCAACGGCACGGGACACACCACGTTGCATTTCTCTACCCCAAAGACGAACCTAACAACCTCTGTCACTCATCAAGGCAATTTTACCACGATTACTACAAGCCAAAGTAATTATACTACTGCTAATACGTCAAGGAATACGGAAAGTACAACGTCAATGGCGCCTACCACAAACTCAGTTAACCACTCCACTACAGCTGTCACGCAACCAAGCAATGTGATTGTTTATACTTCATTGATGACAACTGCTAATTACACAACTTTGGACATTAGTACATCAAAACCAGAGAATAGTACTTCAAATACTACTACTATTAGGCCGACAACTGTAGAAATGACCACGCAAACAACTTCCAATTTTACAGTGTCCACTCTGGGGTCTAGTACAGGTCTTACAAGCACAAGAACTTCTCCAACTGGATCCACACCTTTGCAGCCTACTGCTAATACTACTTCTATTAGTAATACCACTAATACTATTACTACGACTACTACTACCCCTTCTACAGTCACATCCCTGGGCAATAGCACCGGAAACCCCACCGGAAATACCAGCAGCCCTAGTCCCTCAGCAACGACCTCAGGAGGTAGGACCAAGTTTTTGATCTCATATAATTCTGCATTTAAAAAAGGACTAGATTCAATATGTTTTCTCTAAAAAGTTGGGTATTATATTGAGTGTTGGTAATTAAGAAAACATGTTAGAAAGGTTTTCAATAGTTGTTGTCCTTGTGATAGCCCCAAACCCAGATCTTTGAAAGGGGGTTGAAGCTGATTGGAACTAAAACATCAGATTCAGATTCAGATTCATGATCAATTATTTAATACACAACTTTATTTGTTGTTTATTATGTCACAGAAACCACAGACAATTGTAAATAATGGTCTATATTTCAACTGCATTACACCTGCCACTTTGATTGGTTTGAGAATTACTTACTGTATGTGCAAGAATGGCTCTGACTAAGTTTATGTATATTGTGGCATTCTTTTTTGTATTCTAAAACGTATGTTCTTGTTTTATTTTCAGTGACGATCGTTTCAACAGTTATTACCGTTTCCTCGGCAACCTCTGTGACTAATGATACAGCCACTCAGGCACCCACAGGGGGCAGCACTGGCACTACTATTACTACCACTACTTCTGCAGCCATAGGTATGATGTACACATTAAATATATGTTTCAGTCTACTTTTTGCCGATAATTATGATATGTACTATTTTTATTGAGGTAAATGGTTTTTTGAATCTATTCAATTGGGCTTTAAAACAATACAAGAATATAAATCTGCTGTCACTCATCATTACAGCTGCAGTGGAGGTCAAACACAGACTTTACTATGAGAAAAGTCCATCAATGACTAAAGGACTACAGCCCTAAAATATTCTGTAAAAATAACTATGTAAATGACTCGATATAGAAAAATATACCACTCATGTTATTATTTCTTATATTTTAAATGTATAATACATTTGCATCTTAAGTGCTCTCATTTCTTTGTGTCCAGTTTGTCCAGAGAAGCCGTGTCCAGCGGGAAGTGTTTGTCTGAACGGAGCTTGTGCCTGTGTCGCTGGAAGTTACTTTAACAACGGTCAATGTGTAAAAGGTAAGAAATACAGATCTCAGTTAATAGTAAAGCTGGGGTACTTAACATTTGTCATAATTAATACATTTTAGTAAACAAATCAGAACACAATATGCATCTTTATTTATTGCAAAACTTGTAAGAAGAAGCCCAGAAATTGCCTGGGCGGCACGGTGGCTGAGTGGATAGCACTCTCGCCTCTCAGCAAGAAGGTCCTGGGTTCGAATCCCGGCCGTACCAGGGCCTTTCTGAGTGGAGTTTGCATGTTCTCCCCGTGTCTGCGTAGGTTTCCTCCGGGTACTCCGGTTTCCCCTGCCACTAAAAATATGTACAATAGGTCTGGCATGCGCCTCCTGTTCGGCGACCCCGCTCCCATCTCTGTGTGGAGCGAGAGGACAAGTGCCCAAAAAATAAGAATTGTAAACTGCTTTGTGACTCTGGTCTGTGAAAGGCGGTATATAAATAAAGCTTGCTTTTACTGTATATAGAGAATATAACAAGTTACTTAAAATCCATTTTCCTTTCTGTTTCAGCCCAAGTGTTTCCAGGCCAGCTGCGTGTCACCTCTCTGACCTTTTCCACCGAAATGAGCAACAGGTCGTCACCCATTTTCCAAAAGACTGCAAAGGATATATCGACACAAGTAAGACTCTGAACATTTGAACAACTGATGGAAGTGCATCAGAAGTGAGAAATTTAAGAAATGACAAAAAATGCCGAGGTCTGGGATCGTGTCGTAGAAAAATACATGTTTTATTGTCGGTACACAGAATAAAACTGTAAGACCAGAGAATCACTGTGTTCCCATGGTTTTTATACAAACTACATGTCGCCAGTAGATGAGTTTGCCTCAACTTTCAGAAAAAAGAAAACGTCAAGTGGAAAAGTAGTGACTGAGGCAGAACGAAGAGAACCTTGTTTTAACCAAACTCGAATTGGTCTAAAATCAGTCAGAGAATAAACAACACCTCTACCGATATCAGTGTGTATCGATGTTTTTGGAACGATCTCCCGTCACGGAAAAATGCATTTTATTTGATTGTTGTTTTCTTCTTTTCAGCTTTTCCAAATCCTCAAAGACCAGAAGGGTTACGTCAGGTCCGACATAATAATGCTAACGTAAGTGTGAACCTTAAAAGAACTGTGACTATTGCAGTTTGAAACATAGAGAGAATATGCAAATAAGCGTATACAAAATAAGTACTAATTTGTTATGGTTTCATCTTAAAAGTTATTCTATATTTTGACTGAAGATTTGAAATGAAACAAGCATTGTCTTGTTCTACTTAAATTAGGGCTTAAACTCACTTGATATGAGAGTAAGTAAGTTAGCCATCTTTATTGATATAGCGCCTTCCACAGACTCAAAATGATTTTTAAGTGTTTTGGGCATTTCTCCTCTGGCTCCACACAGTGATGGAAGAGTGGTCGCCATATACAGTACAGGAGATACTTGTTTTTAGTCATATAAATGCATTCTATAGCAAATTTTCAACAAAACCAGCTGCATGAAATAGACCCATAGATGTTCAATATCAAACAGTAGAACTCAGTTGTTGTAAACCATTGAAACATTTAAAACTGTCGATGCTCTTGAAGGTGAGAGTAATGCATTCAAGAAAATTCACCTTTTTATTTCAATTTTTTTCTTACAAACAATTTTTTTCTCTTCATTGCCTTGGTACAGACAAGGAAGTGTTGTAGCAACTGTGGACAATATCTATGAAGACACAAAGGTCTCCGAGAGCGACGTCAACAACGCCATCGATGAGGCCATAATGTCAGCCTCTTCTGGGATTCTGTCTGGAGCGTCTTACAAAGGTACTGGTGCTTTTCACAAACTAAATGATGTAAATCTGAATGAATCTAAATGAACCACTTTCACCAGTTTTCTTGTTCTTTGAAATATGCATCTTAAAGGAGAATTCATGATTTTTTTGAAGTAGCAATATGTACGAATTTTAATTCACGTCATCATTAAATGGCCCTAATACCTCAAAAGGCAATAATAAACCATGCTCTTTTCAAATACTTCTTTAACTGATAACAGTAGTTCGGCCGAGATATTTGAATTCCATTAGTTTTACAGCCGCTAAATCAATGTCCCGCCCTCCAACGTTTCACCAATCAGATAGTCCGTGATTCGGGTTGCCAGAACTCACCGCGTTGAGCTAATTTCACAGGTAAAGAAACATGTGGCAGCAATACTAAAAAATGTCTTGTTATGATTCTAAAATCATTAATGACAAAATAAGGAATAAAACCAGCATTTCTATCTTTGTGAAAAAGGTGTTGGTTATAGATTTGTTGTTGAAAAAACTCTTGTCTATTCAGATATTATGGTCGCAGCTGGATTCATCTGCATATCTGGCAACCTGAGTCAGGGCGAGTGGGAGAAGTTGCAGTACCGCTTTTGGCCATAATTTTAGACACTGCTCCTTTAAGTCATTTTTGTGCTTAAAAATGGGTTACATTCTTCCACCCGCAAATATTACATGTTGTGTTTCCCAACAGGAGGTTCCTGTAAAAAAATGTTTTGTGGAAATCAGACCATAACATGTTCTCGTCCGTTGAAGATACTTTGCATAGACCTGAGAGTCACTATTTGACTATCAGACTTCGGACTGAGAGCTGATTGGCTGAGAGAGAGTGATCCAGTGAAAAAGCACATGTAGTGATGTGGAAACTACCGTAATGATGGAACCAAACTGTTCTGAAAGCCAAGTAATAGTTATGTGGATCATTCAAAACATTTTTACATTTTTTGTGTGGTTTGGAAGTTCCCCAGCTTTGATTCTGCTGTTAAAGCTCATGCCTTAAAGAAAGAAAAAACACTGTCTAGGGAAAAAAACTAGTTTCGATATTATTGCTTAGAGTTTGTGTCTATGTGAAAAAATAAAAACACAAAATAATTCAAAATTTCTTAGAATTAGATTAACCTAATTTTTATTTTTTCCGAATTCAAACCTGACTTGATTTTGTTAAGTAAAAATTAAGTATTTTTTGTTGTTGTTGGGATTTTATGTCACTTTAAATGAAATAAAAAATAAAAAATAAAAAAAACATCGCACTTGGAATGAAATAGAAAATACTTCTAATGATTTCTGGCTTGCAGCTTTGACAAATCATAGTCAGAAACAGAGAAAATGTACTAAAAAGAAGACAAAAACAAATGGATTGAAGCATATATTCGATACATTTTTCTATGAATGCAGTGAATGAAGAGAAAATGGTCAGATTGTGTAGTGATGTTGTTCTGGGCGTACACAGCGGCAGACTTGTGTCAGCCCGGAGCCCTCTCTCCCTGTGATGTCGTCACCACGTCCTGCACCTCGGTGGACGGTCAGCCCACCTGCTCCTGTCTGTCCGGCTACGTTCCATTCAACCAGCTCTACTCCAACACCAGCTGCAAAGGTACATAAACCATGTGTCGACCACTGAGAAAAGACCATGTTGTGTATGTGTAAATTTAGGGCGTTCCTCAGGGCTCTGTTTTGGGCCCATAGTTATTGTTGGAAAGTTTTTTGGCTAAATGCAAATTAATTCTTTTTTTTCATTGCTGCACTGGGATGAGGCTGGAGAGAAAACCATATTCTTTTGGACTCGTACCTTTCAGAAAGATTTGCGCCAAAAAAACAAATGCAGTGGAAAAGAACTTCTATGTGTTTTGTATAAGCTAGTTTTAGTGAATATTTTTTTATTTGTTTTTTTTATATTTATGTTATTAAAGAGCGACTAAACACCAAATCAACTTTTTTTAACTCATAAACTGCATAAGTATGTTTATTGTAGTGCTCTCTACATATCCTGGTAATTTTTTTGACATTTTAGTTCAAATTAGATAAAATATCACTTTTGAGCCAAAAAACGCTGTGTGGCGCCCTCTCAACCTTTTTGGTGGTACTACATTTGAATTTGGTTCTGGCCTCTCCATTGACTCTGAAGTTCTCTATGACATCAGTTGTTTTGTGTGACGTCAGTCTGTCAGAGCCAGTGATATGAACCCATTCAACTCTCACACACGCCCCAGCTGCAGTTTGGAGTATTCTGGCGCCATCTAGTGGATTAAAATTAAATTACATGAGTCATTCTGAGATTATTGAGTGTGATTAGGTTCAGGTGTGTAGCTTCACAATTATCTTAGTGTGTAAACAAGGGTGGAATGAGACTTTCTGGTCTGTAAACTATTGCTTTAAGCAGCAATGACAACTGTCTGTTTTTTTTTGTGAGACAAGTGAGCTGTCAATCACAGCCCAGACCACGCCCAACTCTAAGCCCCCCTTCTTGTCCCTTAGTCCTCCAGGCAACGCCCTTTTTAAAGACAATTTTCAAATCTTCATGTGGGCGGGGTAAGGCTGGGCACAGGTGTTTAGTCGCTCTTTAAGGACAATAAATATCAAGACAGACAAACCACAGGTATACAAGCACAATAAAAAACACAAGCAAGGACAAACAAGGGACAAACAAATAAACACAAAAACTAAAAGAAGTCTAATAATCTTAATACTTATTTAATTTTTTTTTTTTTGTATACGATAAATTATAGTATACATGAGAATGCAAATGATTTCGGATGGAATAATATCTGAAGTAACAGGCAAAAAAAACCATTTATCCGCTTTGAAAATGTGACAAAATGTTGTATTTCACCAGGTTCAGTAATCTAAATATATTGTCATTGGCACTTATTTACAAAAAACTATTCAAAAATATAAGTATGAACACTATATTATTGCATTATTTGAAAGTTTTTCCTTTAACAGAACTCACCAAGACTTGATTATTACTTGCCACGAACTCGTCAGATGTCAGAAGCTAAGCAGTGTGGGTTAGGGTTAGTACTGTGATGGGAGACCGTGCAAACTATTGTTGTGTCCTTGGGTGTGAGTGTGTGCGAATTTGAAGGCTTGCATTCATTAGTCTGTCCCAGAGCAGCTGTGGCTACAACTCTAACCTAGCCATGGAGAATGATGTTGTGGCCATACCTGTAGGCCTGTCACGATAACAAATTTTGCTGGACGATTAATTGTCTCAGAAATTATTGCGATAAGCGATTATATTGCCGTTCTGAGATCATTTGCATCGATTACAATGATAATGCAGGTACACCTTTTCAAAGAGAAATAAACTTTTATTTTTAACAAATATTTAACGCTAGAACACAATAAATTAACAAACAACCAAAAACAAATAAAATAGACTCAGTCTCTTAACAAAAAATGACCAGGAATAAAACTGCCAGGACCTTTGTAAAGAAAATATGAAACAGATGCCTCAAATGTCAATAATTTCTCAGACTTTATGGCAGATTACGAGAAAGAAATACCAACATGTTGACTTTGTGTGGCTTAAGACAGGATCTCTCAGGAGTAGTTCCACCTCCCCACACACCAGGCGAATGACAAGTGACTGACATGTGGGTTTACCAATGGGGCGTACAGAAGTCCTGCTGCGGTAGCGCCCACCGGAAGTAGCGGGGCGGGCTTTGATGCTAACAGCTAAGCTAGCGGGTTTTTTGTGTAAAGTTCTACTCCAAGAATGCAAGTCTGCAGCATCTCTGTGTTCAGAGACCTTCTAGAGACTTTATATAACAGCAGTATGTGTTCACGGAGGTGCGCCATAAGTTTATTTTATTGGTATGGTACGGTACTTCTGCATCGGCGAACACGCTAACGCTAGCTGCGCTAGTATAGTCACTAATCAAGCCTGAATGAGAACTCAGCTGCAGGCATATGTTCACAACTACTGTGTCCCCCATTGTCAATCCTGGTTAAGTCCTGGTTTAGGTCCTGTTTTGGCTGTATTTTGTATTTTTGAGTAATTTCCGTCTGCTTGCTAGACCGCTAATGTTCCCGTGACCACTTTGCGGCTCTCTGACCCGAGAGAGACGGGGGAGAGAGAGACGGGGGAAACAAACAAGCATGCAAATGGGATTTATCGCGGCCAGAAAAGTTATTGAGCAAATTTTATTTATCGTGCGATTAATTGATTTATTGACTATTGCGACAGGCCTACATACCTGCATGTGAAAGCCAGATCCGGTCATACCTCTGAAGCTGTGCGTGGCGGGGCCTGGTTAGTACTGTGATGGGAGACTTGTGGGAACATCCGGTGTCTCAGTAAGGCAGCTGCGGTTGTAAAGTGCCAAACTCTTGTCGCGTCCTTAGGCAAGACATTTCACCCACATTGCCTAGAAGGAGTCTGGTATGTGCGTGAATGGCTGGTGGTGGTCAGAGGGGCTGATGGCACATACTGGTTGCCTTGCTTCAGTTTGCCCCAGGGCAGCTCTGACTACAATAGTAGGGTATCATCATTGGGAATGAAGTGAATAAATAATGACATGTCTTTGTCAAAGAAAGCGTGTCTTTGTCAAAGAAAGCGTTATATAAACCGATTTATTATTATTATTATTATTATTACAGCAATCTATAAGTCTGATAGATTGGTTTTTGCACACCAAAAATCCCAAAACACTTTTAAACTCTCCTCATGACGTCTTGCGTCTTTCGTTTCCTTTGTTTCGTACTGTACATTGTAAAAGTCTTTGAAAGATGAAGGCTGGAGACCCACAGTTTTATCCCCATGTCCTGTTCCAGCCACATAAACTCGCTGAAACCGTTTTGTGTGAGAAAAATGCGGAAAAGCAGCAGGGAGTCGGCCGCAGAGCAAGGTCGAGCGCTCGGCCTTTTCAGCGCGGACGACCTGCCACCTTTTTATCATTTATCTCACAAATTTATTTCATTTTAATTTGTCCGTTTCCCTGGAGACGTCAGGGGGAATCGCAGTTGTTAAGGAGTGGAGTCGTTGAACCATACTGTGAAGGCACAGTGCAGCGAGAGAAAGAAAGCAGAATTTTCCCATGACACGTTCAGCTTCCTGTCGCATGCAGCAATTTATGGTCCATTTTCCCGTTCAATTCTACTTTTATGAATTGTCCGTCACTTTGGCAATATCACTCAATTTTCCTAACTCTGAAAACAACAGCTTTTAAGTCAAAGAGTTGCAAAAAAGTCTGGAAAAGTCTCTAGAATTATGCTGCTTGAATACATTTAATTGTTTTTGTCCTGCAGCTAGTCAACTTGAAATCACTCAAGAATACAAGATTAGTTGAGCTTACAAAATGATCAAAACCATATATTTCTACATTAGATTACTTCCGCCCATGCTCACTCTCACTGCTTCCTGAAATGTATACAAATCCTTGAGGCCTCTCGTCATTGGTCTAACTATTTTCCTCCAGAAAATCTTACTGGTTGTAGTTTTTTCAAGGGTAAGGACATTTTTAGATGCATTATTGTTGGAAGATAGTTACTCAAGATAACAGCGCAGTGTCCCATGATCAGAAATATACATATTTTAAAAATGAAATAGGATTTAGTTTTCTGATATCATGTTTAACTTAGAAAAAAAAAGCAACAAAAAAAACAGTGACCACTCATACAGCCACTGGGTATTTCAAGGTCAACATGCAAAAAAATATATAAACTTTTCTCTTCACATAAAAAAGTATGATGTCCTTTTAATTATTATTAATTTTTTTTACTTTCTTGTTGAATGCATGTTAGAAAAAAAAAAAAATCACAGAAAAAGCTTAAAATTTCAGTGTTATAGAAGCACACAACACAAGAAAAAATAATAATAATTCAGTACCAAAATAAAATCGAAAATAAAATAAAATCTCTAAATTGTGATCATTATTCAAAGCCCAAAATAGTGACTCATTTAAAAAAAAAAATTCGAGCCGCAAAATGTTTCTCTCTCAATTAAAACCACTACACAATATGGTTTTCCAGTCAAATACAAGCAGAAAAAGTTCCCATGAAACACAATAGTCGCCTTGTGAGGTGGAGGATCTGACGGTGGCTCTGATCCACTGGGGATTGGGTAAATTTACAGGTTTTGTGTGATTTCGTTCCAGCTTGTCCCAGTGGTCAGAAGGCAGTCGGAAATACATGTCACCCGTGAGTATTTGCATTGTTTTGTTTATTTAGTTTTTCATATCAGTTATTTTATCAGCCTATTTGTAACTTACCGAACCACAATCATAATTTTACTAGTTCTATCATTTTTAAGAAGTGGCAGAACCAACAACAATGAATAGTAGTATTTTTCCTTTTATCTTGATCTCAATTACAATATCAAGGCCTACAGCTGTGAATTTACTGTAAAATAAATACATAAAGAGAACCCTAAAATATCCAGAAATGTAGCATACATTTTGAATGATTTAACACGTTTTAAAGGAAATACTAAAGTTAGCAAAGCAAGATAGTTTTGAAAGCATTTTTGTTGTTGGTGATTATGACTATTATGAATAATGAGATACATGTTAATTGAAAATGAATGAGTATTTCCCCTCTCTCTTTATTCAGACCCATGACCTCAGTGCGTCACAACTTTAGTGTTTGGCGCCCCCCAGTGGCAGGGTTCTTACAGTGTGTGTGTTTTTGTTTCAGATGTTCATTTGGCTACGCTGGCTTCAACTGTAATGATCGTAAGTTTAAATCTATTGCAAACGTCAGTATTATTCACTTACTTAAGATTATTTTTCTTCTTCTAAGTTCTTACAGGTTTGAAGTGGTTAGCTGTGCTTCTAAGTTCAGTTTAGCATAAAAGCTGTATTCTGCTGCCTCAATATTAAGATAGTTTTATAATGTCCCAGTATGAAACACTTTTCCACAGCCTCAAAGTTTTCTCAAAATTATAAATATGTCTTGTTTCAGCAAAAATCACTTTTCACTTTATTACTTGGGTACATTCATGCATTTCTTTACTTGAGACCAGAACTTTTGCCATATCTGGAAACAGCATTGTAATTACGTCTTGTGTGTGTGTGTGTGTCACAGCGGCGCTCCTGGCAGTGGTGGTGGTCTCCTTTGTGTTGGGGGGCATTCTGCTCATACTGGTCCTGGCTCTCATTGGCTACTGCTGCTGGTGAGTTTCACATTTACCTTTAAATACTTACAATCAATAATCAAATTATTCTTGCATAAATTAACAGACGTTTTTGTTGAAATGGGGCTAAACTATGGAGCTTAAATTGTGGTGATGTGTATTTCATTGTTTTTGTGGTATCTATTGAAAAGGGAGATGGAGTTATTTCAAAAAGTTAAAAGTGAAAGTTCACTTATAAAGTTAGGGAAACCTAACTTTTTTATTTAATAAATAATAGATTGTATTTGTCCCAAGAGAAAAGTAGAATATGGTGAATGATACGCCGTGTTCCTTTTGGGCCGATGGTTCTATGTGTTTTTTATATTATCATTGTTCGATGGAGTAAAAATACTGTTGGAATTTAGGGCTATACAAAAAAGTATTTAATTGAAATTTAAGTCATTACTTTAATGCTACGTATAAACAACATCCCTGTGAGTCACTATTTGATGCTTGGACGGCTTTTGAAAAAACGCTCTACACATTAGTTAGATGAACTACTGTACTGTATTCATGTAAACTTAGTAACCATAGAGATTTATCTTTCTCCATTTGGATACACTTCTAAATATATGTCGTAAGTTTGGAGGGTTTCATTCTAATCTTTTGTGTTTGTCCCCGCTCAGTAAAAGCAGTTCTTCAAAGAGCTCGTCTGAATTCAACAGTCCGTATTCGGTGAACTCGGAGCAGCCCTGGCCCAGTGAAGTCCCCCACATCCCGCGAGCCTCCACCAACTGGGACTCCGGACCCTCCATGGAGCTGACGGAGGGGGCCAGCACACGCGCCCTGGTGGACAAGAAGAACCACAACGGCCTGGTGAGTTTATTGTTCATTTCTCTACTTTGGATTCCATATTTCACATGTAGCCTGTTTCTAGTGACGTCCTTCTTGTACTTTATTACTATTGTTACTATTGTCCTACGGTGGATCAATAAAATATCTATCTATCTATCTATCGCAATAAATATCATTATCACAGTCCTATCACACTTTTTTCCTATATTGTGCAGCCCTACTTAAAGCTGAGGCTCCTAACTTTTATTTTCATGAATAATACTGTTTATCTCAACAGAAATAGTTGAAGTAAAATGTTGTGAACAATTAAGTCCACAACATGCGGTCTTCATCTTTTTAGTTATCGTTTGTGTTTGTTTAAATTTCTATCTGAAAAATAGTTGATCCACAGATGTGATGGAGACCACAGACGCGTGCATGTGATACTAGTGATAGATCATGATTATGAAATGGATTGTGTCACGTAGTTCCAGATTGTGTACTTTCAAACTTAGGTTCCCCAGCTTTAATAACCAAATCCATGAATGCTGGACACTGGCCACATGTTTTGTACATTTTCACCTGTGCAATAGTCTCTAAGTGTTTTTCAACCAGTTTGCTGTTGATGTAGCCTGGTCGTACCACACCATAGTACAAATTTCATTTCGTACTAAGGTCTGGAGGTGCTCCATTGAGCTCCGTGAACAGGTGGGAGGGGTTAACTCCTTTTGCAGATTGAAACGATTGGATCTGTAATGCGCCCGAGTGATTCGTTAGCATTTAGCATTTAGCCTAGCTTTAGCCATCTCCTTTGCCGCTAACGGAGCCCGTGGGGAGTAGCGCAATTTTTTTTTCAGCAATTACATTTGCTAAACATTCCTATTGCTCCGGCTTCAATTTCTTGATAGAACCAGACCGGATTACTTTACTATCGCATTTTTTGCCATTACCAAACTACAACCTTCCTGTTCAGCGCAAACTCTTGACGTCACCCACAACTCACTACAACACCCGCCTTCCTCGCTCTCTGAATGGTCGGTCAAAATTCAACTGATTGTATTCGCAAACACAGGGACCAGACCCAGACGTTACATGCAGTGAAATGAGGATCGAGCGGCGTGTACGGATGGATAAGACCAGGCTACTGTGTATATGCCTTGAGATGTTTTTTTAGTGTGCCTTGGAAATGATCCTATATCACTATATCAAAGTGTTTGTGCCTGTTTTGATTTGCTATATAATACACTTTATTGTTAATTAGGTTTAAGATTGAGATGTCCCACAGCAGGGAAATGTCAGTATTGCATCAAAAGTTACAGAACAGCTGGAATGAGGAGCACAAAGCACAAGATAATTGAACAAAAACTATAAAATAAAAACAAAATCTCTAACTCTAGCATTAAAGAAACAAGAAACAAAATCTCTATCTTTAACATAATAAAAAAGTATATAATCTCTACATTTTGCAAAACAAGAAGCAAGTATATTCCAGTGCAAGCAACATGTAGTTATATGTTCTATATGAGATATCTGCAAAAACAGATATCTCTGTTTTGAAAATGTGTCCAAAGATTGTGTATCTTGTAGCTGCAATAATCCACATGTTTTCTTATTGGCAGTACATTTGAAGAGATTTTCTCAACAAGGGGTGAAACATAATTTGTATACCCCAAAAACACACCTGGCCTTTACAAAAAAAACTACTTGGAAAATGGCAAATTAGACGTCTATTTCTAATGGCACTTATCTGTTTTTTGCAAATGAACTATTCACGTAGAGTTTCAATGTTGTATCAAATTCAGTTAGTGTTGTGCCGTGTGATTTTTGTAATTTTTTTGTTGCTATGACAAAGGTGTGGCACGGCTGAAAAAGGTTGGGGAACACTGCCTTAACCAAATCCTCAAACAGCCGGTAGTTTACGTGCTCCCTTGCTTTGCCTGACTCCCAGTGTGTTGATTTGTATTGATTTCAGCGATTCCCCAAAAGATGGAGAAAGGTAAGGCTTGGATGGCGTTGCTTGGATGGCTGCATAATTTTGACTTTCTTTGGTGACAGCAAACATGTGTATTTATATATTTATTATCATTTCTCTTCATTTTTATCAAATCTGTTGTTTTCATAATGGTGGGTGGTTTGAATGGCGTGTACATTTTGGCTTTTTGAAGTGGTTTGCATGCACTTCTTTGCAAAACTTGATCTACATTTGGTTATTTTTATGTTTTACCGTTGACCGTTCAGTAACAATGTGTTTGGGTTTTTTTCTCCTTCCAGACCGGCTCCTATGATCTTCAACCGGACGACTTGAAGACTTTTAAAGGCAAAAATACATCGCGTTACTCTTACCTGGTCCAAGGACATGAGAATCCGTATTTTCTCCCGGGAGATGAGGGTAAAATATAAAAAAACAAGGATCGTTTTGAACTCTCCACCTCATTTTATTGATTCGTTTGTATTTATTATGTTGTTTTATCCGTAAGAAAACACATTTATATTTTGGGATTTCTGAGCTGGAATCTTAAACCAAAGAAGAGAACATCTATTCACTGCAAAAAAAATGACACACGCACACATGTTTTATAAGTCCTTAAATTGAGCTGTTTTTCTTTAAGACAGTGAAAGTGTCCTGAAATCAAGATGAATATTACTTACTTTTAATTTATTTTTACTTTTTTTAATCACGTTTGTTGTATTTGTGGTTTATGGATCAAACGGAACATTGAGAATTGCATTATTTCATTGTGAAAATTCATTTTTTGTGTGGGAAATCAGACTGGGGCTTGCTTATTATAGATTCACATTTATTTCCAGCACATGTCACAAATATGTAATTCAAAGTGCTTTAGAAGACAATCTTAAAATGCATTGAAAACAGACAGATACACTAAAAACACGTGGTCATAACGTTCTGCTTGATATGAAATGAAGTGCGTCCTGAGGGTGAGATTTGCTGTTTTTACCACTAGATGTCACTGTAGTTCTGTTTTTTTCCCCTTCTGTATCTCAATCATGAACGTTTTTAAAGTTTTATTCTAAATGATTGCACTAAAGCGTGTCCAAAGTTTACTTCACCACAATCTGAACTTGTTTTAGAGCAATGAGTATTTTCTTAATTATTTTTATTGAATGACTTAAAGGGGCTGGATCCCTGGTTCGGGGCTGTTTTTATATAAAGGGATTGAATTAAAGGCTTTTAAATGAAACCTGTTGTATCTCCGACATGTGCCAATAATGCTTGTAAATTATTTTGTATTTTTCTTTGTGCCCATTTATTTGTAATTAAGAAAAAAAATAAAAATGGACATAAAAGTGTAAAACATCCATCCATCTGTTTTCTTCAGCTTTGCTCTAAACATGATTCATTTGTTCAATAATCTCTGTGTTTATATCCTGCCGTGGAGTGGAATATGTACACGAGCTGGCAACTGCTTCAATGCAAGTTTATATGTATAGCACAGTTCATACACAAGGCATCTCAACGTGCTCAACCAAACGAGAAAAGAAACATTAAAATCACACAAAGATCATAAATAATCACATTACGTTAAATAGAATGAACATAGTCAGAGTAGAAGCCTGTCTCGCATTTTCAAGAGAACTGTTCCAGGTTCAAGACATTTAAGACATTTCACTTTTTCTCCCTTTACACTGATAAATCCAGGAAACTACATACATAAAGTGACCGCTAACTCTACAAAGACAAAATAATAAACCGGAGTGACTTGAGAAAAGACAGAATCCAAAGGCAATGGTGTAATTTATTAATATATAAAAATATATAAAAGGGGGAAAAATAAAAAAACAGGCCAATGACAGAAAAAATAGGATATTAATAATAAAGTAAAAAAATAAAAATAAAAACTTGGACAGCGTTAGTTTAAAGTAGGACAGTGTCTTGCCAATTGACACCAAATCCAGGCTTAAAGAACAGACAAATATGTGACTTTGGCGAGTAAACCAGGAACAGAGACATAAGATCGTGGTCAGATAAACGCCTGTTATTATCACATGTCATTAACGTTGCTTCAGTCGTTACAAAGCTCCACATGCGTCTGTTTCAGAGTCCTGCTGGAGTGATGTCGCCCAGAGTCTGACGAGACTTCAGAGCGGATAATGTTTGCGGATAAATCTTCTTGGGCTTAATCTTGGGCACTAGGTCAGTGGTGCAGAGCGGCACTCACAGGATTCAGACACTTTTCATAAGAACAGCCTCAACATTTGATTTTAGCTGTGATGAGAATATTTCAAACTGCGCAGGTTTGACCAAATGTAGAAATTACACAAAATATTTCAAACGCAGTGGAATACATGTAATATTGAAACAGGGTAATTATGACTTTCTAAAATTTGCGAAGCTTGTCCCTGTTTTTCAACTATAATTTGAAACAAAACATGATAATGGGCGTGTTTACACAAAAGATCTTAAAGTCGACAAACGAGACAAAGATACAGATCAGTCTGGGGTCGTGTCACAGACAGAAGACATTTTATTGATGTCACAAAGATGACCCGAACAAAGGTTTGCTGTGTGCATGTGATGTTATACCATGAAGGAGGAATCCAATCAGCATCTGCCACGGTGCCTGTAGCTTCGGCCTTCAGAAAACCAGAACATCATGTGGAAAATCACTGGCTTGTGCTTACCAGCCTAATGGTGAGTTCAGCTTTAACCACAGTTGCTTAAAAAGTGTTACGAGAGATCCACGGACTCCTGGATGTATTCTACTTGCTTCACTTAAACTGAATAACGGTTCACTTGGGACAGTAGTAAGAACTTTGCCAAATTAAGTCAAATAGCACCATAGGAGACAGAAATAAACAAGCTCATGCATTTAGCACCATTTGACCCTTCCTATTACAACTGCCTTAATGCATTCCAAGTAATTCTTCCACAGTAATATACTCAGGAATACGAAAATAACACTGATTATACTGCACTATCTTAAGGCTCATTACCACTGAGCAAAACCCCTGGTCGCTTTGGAGTAACTCATTTGGATATTTCTGAAGTAACTATGTGTGGAAACTGACCTGCTGTATTGTGTACTGTGGACCCCTGTTATATCTGTATTACTGCTAAACATTATTTTAAGCACATATTAGTTTTACCCACATTGTATCTGTCTTAAGCATGCGTCATTTACAGTATGTCTCAAGTGATGACATATTCTCTTCTTATACACATTGATCCAATTCGTCAAAATGGCCGCTGCCTTGTCTTCATTTCTCGACATATGGTTAAAGCTGAACTCATCGTTACTACAATATGCAGCAGTCAGTCATTTTACACTTCATGTTTTGGTTTTCTGAAGGTCGAAGAAAATATATCTATTGGCTCCGTCGCAGGTGCTCAGAGGAGAGTCCTTAATACTTCCGGTTCTAAATCACGTGCAAACTTTGGTCGTGCCTTTTTTACCAACCATAAAATGTCTTCTGCTTTGACACAACCCCAGACCTCTGCATCTTTTTGACCTTTTCTTCACTTTATTAAAACTCAAGCTTATCATTACGACAGTTTGCAGAAGACAGTCATTTTCCATTTGATGTTTTGGTTTTCCGAAGGTCAAAGCAAGCTCATCCATTGGTTCTTATATTATATTCTCTTTTATTGACTCCTTTTGACTATTGACTATTGCATCCTCGTTTTGTCTGGCTATAAAACCTTGTGAACCCCTCGTTTGTGCCGTTTTCCGGCAACAATTCCACGATTCCAGACCTTTGCCTCTTTGGTCCGTTTCTTCAGCCTCTTCCCTCACGCACTGATACTACCTCTTTGGAATCTCAGATAAACATTGTATTCCATGCCTTGAGACTGATGGAGCTTTAATGGTCTTTCTCTCCATCACAGCCATTTGAGCTGCTGCTGCTGCTGCTGCTGCTGTGGGGATGGACCTACAATCTAATAAGCATCGAACTCCAGACACAGGACTCAGAACCAGAGTCTATACCAACGCAACGACAATAAGAAATCCAGTACTGACATGACTGAAGTGGGAGCCTTTGATCTTATATTGGCCGAGCGGTTCTGAATTTCTCACACAAAGAAATACTTGGTCTCTAGAGTATTCAAAAGGAAAATTCTTACATACCTATATTTCCTTTCAACTGGGACAGCCTCAAGAGTACTTCAGTTGTTTTGTGGTTCTCCCCTTGCCTCACCCCTGTCTCACCCCAGTCCCACCCCTGTCTCACCCAGAGCCCGTGGGACCTGGCGTTCAAACGAGGAGCTTCTCTCTTTTCCCCTCTCGCGCTCTCGTTCAACCTCTTTCTCATGCTAATCACGGGACGGTCCCATCTGCCGCGGGACGCCTCTTCTCTGCCTTTGTGTTCAGAGCTGCAACAGAAACAACGCTAAAGATCCGAGGCTCCAAACAAAAGTGCATATGGCCCATGCGGAAAATATACTGCAGCGTAAAGAAAAAAAACACAATTTAATCATTAACGTGTTGAAACAGATCATGTGGAAATAACTCAAGTCAGATGTGTGGAAAGGCGCGACCAATCCCAGTATAATAGAAACATGGAAATGAAAAAATGCAAGATAGAGACGTGAAAATGTAATAACGGTGATATTGGAAATGGCTTTTGTATAGTATTATAATAATTGACAATGGCTCAGTTGGTAAAGCGTAGGAGGTAATATCCATCCATCCATCCATTTTCTTCCACTTAATCCATTTCTGGGTCGGGGGGTGGCATTCAGAGCTGCACCCAGTACACAGAGCACCAGCCCCTCATTGATCCTCCTGCAGGTGGTGAGTCCACAGGGGCCTTGATCTTCCAGCGGGAGCTTCAGGCAAATTGGGGTTACATGTCTTGCCCAAGGACACAACGACAGCAGTCATCAGTGGGAGTCATGACGTAGGAGGCAATACTTTTGTTTTAACAGGTACATGATGGCTCGAGAAATGACATGATCAATCAAGTCATCATAGTGTCAGAAGTTGCAGCTACTAGCGCAGAGGTGTGCAAACCGGTCCAGAAAGGGTTTTCTATCGTACCCAGCAGAAGCAGAACGGACTCCTTCCATTTCCTCAAATCTTCAGGTTAAGAATGAATTTACTTGAGGAATTGAGGGGAGTCTGCTCTGCTCCTGCTGGGTCTGATAGAAAACCTGCAGCCACAGTGGTCCTTTCTGGACCGGTTTGGACACCTCTGTTAGCGTGTCTGCAACCAAACAGATAGACTTCATTGATCCCTGTAGGAGAAATTCAGGTGTCCAGTAGCAGCAAAAATAAAAAATAAAATGGATCAACTACAGTTATGTTTTTTTGTCTTGAGGGAACAGCATTGTAGAGGGTTAAACGCTCAAAAAGATCTAATGGAATGGAAGAAACATAGTCATAATGTACTTGTAAAAATGACAGAAAAGTCATGATTGATCATCTGTACAGGGTTATCCAGGATTAGTGATCTACAATTTACTCCATTGAGGATAGTCCCAGTCTGAGCATCTGTTCAGACTCCAAAATCCAGAATTGTATTAGTATTTTAATATTCCCTGTTGTTGCTTTTTGCCAAATCCTTCTAAATTCCAATAGTTAATCAAAGCCGGTCACAGATTATTCAAAGTCATGTTGTAAAACCAGTTGGACATCACTAGTCCCGACAGGCTGGTGTTCTGTGCAGCTGAGACTTGGTCCTCTGGGAGTTGACTGCACTAAGGCCCACTCCATGACCACCCACCACACACTGTTTATGCTGAAATACTCACCATCAAAGGCAAGTATTCTCCTCAACACTCAGAATCCCAGAAAACTCCCAAAGAGGCCATTTTGACGGCTTTGAAAAATTACTTACATTTTATCAAATGTAAATTCATACGATTGTTATCTTTAATGCAGGCTACCACTTATTAATATAACTGAATTTCTGCCAAACCAAATACCAGCTTCTGAAAGTGAAAAGTGAACCAAGCTGAGATAGCTCCGAACCAGTCCAGGATTTTGTGATCGAGATATTTTCATAAAGTAATCACAAATATCTATAAACTACATATAGATACAGAAAAAGTCACAAGAAATCTCACTTCCAAAATGAAAAGCTTTCAAATTGACTGCTCTGAGAGTTCTAGTGTTAACATTCAACACTGGTGATTCTCTTCTGTGTGTGAGAAGGCTTTCAGAAAGTAGGACCAAACAATACAAGACTCTAACTTTTGATCTGACTTTAAAAAAAAACCTCCAAATGTTGCGTATAACAGACAGACTGGGGCCTATGAGTTGCACTTCCAATTGTACCATTCAAATATCAAAATGGTTGTGATTGCAAAAGCAGCATATTTTCCATCACTCTGAAAGCGTCCGACTTGTACTAATGAAATATGATCCTCTTTGCTATTAGCTGAAATGGCCAGTGGCACCGGTAAACTGACACTGGAGACTGCCAGGAAACGCTTGATAAATGTATATAGTGACTGCACAGTGCATTAGACAAAATGAATTAACAACTGGAAGCGTGACGTGAGAAATGACTAAAAGGGGGATTAGATATTGGCTTACCACAGCCTCGAATGGGCCGCCAGAATTGGAAGTAACACATTATTGACTTGAATGTCTTGCCAATTGATACAATAAACATACACACTTGACAGTGCCATATGCAATTACTATTACTAGACTTGGAGATTCTTTATTTTTATTTTTTATTTTTTTTATTTCAGACAATACAGTCACCAAACATACACTCAGAATACGTATACACAAAACATACTATACATCCCACAATGACAATAACCCACTTATCATGCAATTGTAAAACAGAATACACAAACTTGCAGACTGGACAGATGTATAGTAAGCAGGTAAGACGCAATACAAAAAAATAATCAAAATTAAATTAAATTAATAGGTGAGACGATAGTAGCCCCTTCACTGGTCTCTCCAAATATGGCTGCAGTATATTTGAAACGCTGCAGCTTAAGTCCTGACTAGAACCATAAAGTCTGATCACATTAGTCCAGTCCTCAGGTCTCTGCACTGGCTTCCTGTGACTCAGAGAATAGACTTTAAAGCAGCTCTGCCTTTGTACAAGTCTCTCCATGGCCTCGCACCAAAGTACATCTGTGACATGTTAGTCCCATAGGAACCAGCCCAGACTCTGAGCAGCAAAGGGACTGGCCTCCTGCTGGTGCCCAGAAACCAAACTAAATATGAGCAGGCAGCGTTTCAGATTAATGTACTGTATTGTATTTGTAAATTGAATAGTGTTTTTAATTTTTAGGCTAGCCAAAACATCTCCCCACAGGACTACCGATGAAAATCAGCTTAATTTAGCTAACTCGGGCACGTTTACATGGTGCAATGTTGATTCATGTGCACTTGTCCCATTTCAAATGAATTAATACATAGAAAATAAAAATGTATGCATGTAAAATCTGGAACAGTCTTCTTGAAAATGTGAGACAAGCTTCTAATTCAGGATTGGAAAAAAGTGTTATTTAGCTGTGAGTACAACTGAAGGATTGTATCTTAATGATTTTGATGCCTTGTGTATGAACTGTGCTATACAATTAAACTACTGTGCAGTTGGACTAACATGACTCTGCATAAATGGGCATTTGGATGTTGTGAGGAAAGTGAACTAAAGCTCCTAGACAGATGGCAACAGTTCAGTGAAAAGCCAGAGTGAACCTGGACTGATTTTAGTCGCTGAGCACTTTCACAAAAGCAGATTTGTTGAGACGGACAAACTGCCAAATCCTGCTTTTAGAGGAAAACAATAGACACAATAAATAACACATAAAAGAAGGAGGCTGGGGGAGTTATAATTTATGGTTGGATGCAGAAAGAATCAGCTTGTTGTGAATAAAGTAAGATAGTTTCAATGCAAAAAACTGAAGATTAGTCAGTGTAATGAATGAGGAGATCTATAACATACTGTCATTCTGTTACAATCAATCTATAACAACATTTCCTCATTTTTATCCAATAACAGTGACCTACACACTACACAGAAATCAGTATACACACACATACACACACACACTTTGTACACTGCACTCACACACTGACACTCGCTACACCCTGAAATGCATTCAACCACATTATACCTTATTCCTGAATGCATGTTCATTCTGTTGTTTCTATAAAATGCCACTTGTCACTTGTTTGGTGGATGCTTCCAAATAAACATTTGGTGCTAATGTCTGTTGTCACTATCGAGATTATACATATGTTTCAAATGTTTGTACGAACCATACTGAAGTATGGGCACTTGTCAGTTCAATTATGTTGCAATCAGCCTGAAAAAAAACCCAGGATTGCACTAATATTAAATATTTAAAGGTTCATTTAGGTTCATTAATATGCAGTTTTCCTCTAACATTCTGGGACTGTCGCTGTAGGAGCCACACGTTACAAATCATTGTGGGTAGATCAGGGCTGTTGTCGTGCAGTGGTTGGCGCTTGCGTTTCACTGCAAGAAGGTTCTGGGTTCGATTCCACATTAATTATTCATGTGGTGTGTATTTGTGGTCCTCATACATTTGTGACGTTTTCTGTATTTGTATGTAGTTTATTTATATGTCTATGTCTTATTATGTATTATGCTTTTTGTTATTAATGTATCCTTTACTTTTGAAATGGAAGTAGTTCTACCTTTAGCTAATTTTAACCAGAATATATCAAGTCCTAGTAACCATAGCAACACACTGTTTGCTGTCTAAAGTTAGCATTAGCCTTTTTTTAAAGTGAGCAAAGGTAAAAATAAATAAATAAATATTAATAATTATCTGGTGAAAAAGAAAAATATTCTTTGGGAGATTTCTCAGAATTCCATTGGTTTGAATGGGAGCAGTCAAAATAACGGCTCTGAGAGTTTTATAGTTTCAGAATTCTTGCAGTCCTAGATTATTCATTATTATTATCATGTTTTTCTTTTATTTTTTTATGATTTCTCATCACTTTAAAACCCACGCACGTACAGCATCGACCCCATCTCCTCGTGCACTTCGCTCCCAGTGATGCAGGCAGAGGGGAGGGGCCAGCGCGGGGGGAGAGGATGGTGATGAAGAGGCGTCTCCACAGCCGCGCGGAGAGGAGCCAGCGCCAGGCACCTGCGTCAACACACGGGAGCAGGACGCAGGACGCACCGGAGTGACAAGGTAAAAAAAAAATATAATAAATACTAATAAAATCTTCTTCGCGATCCGTGCGTGCCATCATCCTCATCATCACACACACATACACACACACACATACGCGCGTTCTGTTTGCGTCACGAGCCACGAGCAGCTGACGGCGTGGTGTTTGCGTGGCTTTTCACTGCAGAGAGACGCAGGAGAGTCAGAGGGAGCCAGGGAGGACCGGTGGTGTCACAACAACAACACAAGACGTTTGACGTTATTAACATGTGCGCGCCGTGACGGGGAGTGGGAGTAGCGGGTAAGTAAACGCGACTATATGCAGCGGTATACTCTGAGATCCCGTGGTGATGTAGGGCGATATTATGCCTAAATCAGACCACACCCGTATGTGCCTGAATGTGGAGATGGAGGAGGATGCCTGATGGTCTGTGGTCTGGTCATATGGTTTGGAGGAAACGCTTCTTGGATGCGGGCCAAAGTGGGGATGGATTAGCGGTGCGCACGGGAGCTGTTCTTCTCAAGCCGCTCCCACACACACACACACACACACACACACACATAGGCACACAGACAGACACACGCACGCACACACACCTGGTGCTGACATGTGTGTCCACTACAGCCCGGGTATAAAAGGGGTTTGAGGTTTTGAATGCGCTCAGAAGGCGATTGTCCATAGTTTTACAGCTTCATGTGTCAATGTATAAATGACCAGGGATGTGTGCCTGCACCCGGGTTGTCAAAAGTATCAAAAATCATATAGACAGCCTGCTACAACCTGGTGCAAAACATCTCTCCTTTTGACTAATGTTTTTGTTATTGTACACTGTCCCTGTAAATATAATAATAAAAAAACATACCAGAGCATATACCAATATCTATACCTTTTCAAAATATATGGCATAACAAGCATCCTGAAATTCCCTGAGCAGTTTTTTAATCATTTTAATCTCAGGACTAGAATAAAACCATGTTGTGCTATTTTAAATTTGCCTAAAATGCAAAATTGCAATTCATTGTCTGAAAAAGATTTTTTTTAGAAAGGTATTGAAATTGGTATCAAGTATATTTTTGAGTTTCAGAATTGAGTTTGTAATGTTTGTGTAGTTCAGGCAGTGTTTCTGTGGAGGAGAGAAAGCCGAAGACTGAATTTATGGTCTGCTCTAAATCAATATGAAGAAATATGATTAAGTTACTGCGCTTTCTATATATTAGACCTACATTTCTTTCCGAAGGCTTATTTTGTTATTGCAGGAACATATGCTTGAATGCTGTAAAATTCCACAACTTCTAAAATGTCTGTTTGAGTTATAAAGTTGGTGGAATAAACATTGTACTGATGTAATTTTCAATCAATGTAAAAAAGTAAAACCACTCAAGCAATCTTAGAATGTCCACTGAATGTCACGTTATCTACTTATTATCCTGCCCTATAAGTATTTAACTTTACACCATATGCGTATGTATATTTATGCCAATAGGTTGTGGGTTTGAGCCCACCACAAGACCTTCTCCACCGACTTTCACTGATGTCTGCTGTCCTTGCAAGCCACTTAACCCCACTTTGCCTGAAGCCCCCGCTGAAAGATCTCAGCTCCTGTGGACTCACCACCTGCAGGAGGATCAGTGAGGGGCTGGTGCTATGTACTGGGTGGAGCTCTGACTACGGGGGAAGAAAATGGAGGGATGGATATAATGGTCATGATATAATGGATATGATGGTTTTGTGAAAGGATATAATGTGCTGTTACATTAAAAAGATGGCTGCAGCAGATTTAGCCTCATACTTCCCTCCATATGTAGTCTCTAACGATACAATCATATAACTAAACGTACATATTCAAATCCAACCCACTTTATTTACTGTATGTTATAAAAATAAGTTTCCAAAGGGCTGCACAGAGATACAATGAGCACATTTAAATATACAGATTTGCCAGCTTTATATATGCTTAAAAAATATAAGTGAAGCATTATGCACAAAGTACAAACAACACAAACTTAATGAAAACAATAAAATTCCAGTTAACCAATTTAGAAAAATAAGTTAATCTAAACACAGTAAAATAAATAAAACCAATAAAACAGAGAATCACAAAACTGACGCAAAGTTACTCTAGATATATTGATGAAGCATTTGCAGCTAATAAACATAGCAGCTACTTTTTTATTTTGTATATTTAGTGTGCTCCCTGTGTGCTCTTACTACTAGGGGTGGGAACCTAAGGGTACCTCACGATACGATACGATACACGATAAAAAGCTCACGATAACGATAATATCACGATAGCGATTTTATCACAATATGATGATTATGGATATATTGGTCAGAAATATACCATATGCCAATTTATGGCATAAATAAAAGAAAAATGTTAAGTGAAAAAAGCTGCAACATTATCCAGTCCAACATTATCGCGTCTGCTTGAATCCAATGGGCGTCTGTTTATTCCTGACATTAAAGGAAAATCCCAGATGAAGAGGAAGAAGAGGCTGCCGTCTTGTGTAATAATCTGATAGCAAATCCAGATGGCCCGTATCATGATCCATCTTATCCCTGGTCTCAGCGGCGGTGACCGCATCAGGCCCAAAGCATTACCAAAGGGCGGCTGTTTGCAAATTACACTGACCATGATGTGATGCTCATTATAATATACGTTTACAATATGCCATTAAAAAAAAAAAATCTTTATCATGCTAATGTGATAGATTTTATATTTATACAACAAAGTAGACACCCTCTTTAGTTTGTTATTATACATTTTTTCCCTCTTCTTCTTCTTTAGAATTTTGACTAACTGAATTCTAAAGGCAAAATTTCAAAAATTAAGTATAGAGAATACTTACTTTTTGATTGTTTATTCTGAAGAATATTCTTAAATTGTAGATTTTAGACTTGCTTCTTTATAGCGCTAAACCAGAGATTGTATACTTGCTTCTTCATAATGCTAAAGTTAGAGATTTTATTTTATTTTAGTGTATAGAGTTATTGTTCACTGTGTGCTCCTCGTTCCTACTGTTCTGGAACCGATGATGCAACACTGACATTTCCCCACTGTGGGACGAAAGGAAAAGGATCTTAATCTTAAATTGTTTTGTCTTGAAGCTGCTCTGTGCAACTTTTTTCTGCTGGGGTCGGCTGCTTTCTCGCTGCCGTTGATGTTGTGATGCTTTTCTTGTAATGGCAGCTATTTAGACTGTTTACTTACTTACTTCTCTAAAACGTCTTTACAGGATAGACCAAAAGTTGGCTCTTGGCCCAAAGCTCCGTTCCACATGTGTGTCAATGCTGAGGGGAGTGAATTTTTTTGGACCAGTCTAGTTTAGTCGCTGTGAATTTTTTAAGTCACTCGTTCAAATGAATGGGGCTTGTGCGGGCTGACGCATGCGCAGATGCGTTTTTTCACATTTTCCAGCCCCTGCGGCCATTTTGAAACTGCCCATAGACCTCGGAAGTTAGACCATAGACCATAGACCCCCCCCCCCCCAGGAGTAACACAATACATTCTTAGTGGAGTTTGCATGTCTGCGTAGGTTTCCTCCGGGTGCTCCGGTTTCCCCTACCATTAAAAACATGCACAACAGGTATGATAATGAGGGAGTGATGTTGGTTGGGTGCTTTGATGGGCCAGTGTGTTCGGCGTCTCGCTTCCGTCATCACCGTGTGTGGAGAGAATGGAACAATATCTGAACTCTGAACATTGTAAAGCTCTTTGGCTGGCCTTGGGCTGTAAAAATGCGCTGCATAAATGAACATTACTTGCTTACTTACTTGACAGAGGCCAACAATAGATGCATGAGAAAACTGGTGATGGAACTGTTTTGAGAGTGAGAAAGTAGTTAGATGGATTTCATGGACCTGTATATAGTTAAATTTTTTGTGGTTTGAAATTTAGGTACCCTGGCTTTACCCCGTGAGCAATGGATTGAAACATCAGTCGAAAAAATACTAGCAATAATAATAAAGAGGGGGTCTAAGGCCATGGCGCCGTAAAGATGGCGCCGTGGCAAGAGCTCTGGTGTGTGCCGTCTGGTGCACACTGGGGTAGTCTTGCACAGTTTTTCCAATGTGGTTTTACTGCAAATTACAAATAAATTCTTGTATCTTTTATCTTATCCAGGACATTTACGGTCCTTTTTCATCCCTGCTCCCCTATGGACCAATGGCTCCTTTGTGTTTCTTATTATTAGAATTACTAATTTTCTACTTGTCCGTTTGATTCTCTAATCTGTTGTTGGCGATGTGACTGATTTGTGAGTTTGTGAGACGACTGCTGTTGTGATTTAGGGCTTTACGAAAAAAAAAAAATGGAATGGATTGAATAAAACACCCCAATTAGAATACAGTAGATTGTGAAATTGCAGCCTGTATGTCGCTCCCAGTGAAAAGCATGTGGTACGATTGTTGTGGATTACTGAAGCATTACTCAACACGGAGGTGAAAATGTTCGTGAGACTATGTCCTGATTAGTGACACGGGCGTCATGTGACCACCGATGACCTCACATCTGTACAGTGCCACCGCCGCTAAGCCTTTAACTAGATTTGAACCGAAAACGTCATTTCAGCTCAGATGAAATGCCCAAAGCGTCATGTCTGTCTGGGTTTATTTCTGATCAGTGCAATGCGGAGATTTATTTTTGTGTCATATTTTCTGTCGGGGACGATGTGAGTGATTCTTCTGTTGAGATGGTGAGATGAGATGAGATGATAAGGGTTTGTTAATGTTGCTGCTTCACCAACAACAGATCAGAGAATCAAACCGTTCCAACACAAATACAATAATAACAAAGACATAGGAGCCAGGAGCTTCAAAGAAATTCAGAAAATGCAATTGGGCGGACAGTACTTTAGTGTGTCAGCAAGAAAGTCGGAACAGGGCCTTTCTGAGTGTGGTTTGCATGTTCTCCCCGTGTCTGCGTAGGTTTCCTCCAAGTGCCCCGGTTTCCCCTACCACTATAAACATGTACAATAGGTCTGGCATCGCTCCCATCTCTGTGTTCAGTGAAAGACCAACG